GATCACATTTCCAAGGCACAGACAAATGATGATACACCTGTATATTTATTGCTCTGCTAAACTGTCCACGAAGTATTCTAAGTGTAAAAATCAGATTATAAAATATATGACCTTCTTTTTGCAGAAACTATACACGTACTTTGAAAAGTTTTGTGAGAAAAAAATTTAAAGGCTGCAAAAATATATATCAAAATATTAATAATGTTGATCTCTGAGTGGTGGAATTATGTGTTTAACCAGAAAGGCAAATAAAACTTTTTTTCTACAATGCTTATTTTATTACTGGTAAAATAATAAAATAACACAGTATTTTCAAATAAATAAAGCCCTTAAAATGCCAAAAAGTTGGTGATCAAAATTAGGACAGATTTTTTTTTCTGTAAAGAATCTCTTCTGATACCTTCAAGTGTTTTAAATTATTCATAGCCAAAAGCCTGAAGTAAACTCATAGGAGGATTAAGCTGCAAGAGATTTTCCCATTTTATCTCCCGTTTTCAATTCCCCATGGAATAAAATATATTCTTGGACTTACAGGAAAACTGACATTGAAGGTTTAGTTTCTAGAACTTAAGGACAGGTCATAGGTCCTGTAACAAGTAAAGAATGAGAGAAAGACAAGACTGCGCATAGAGCACCATGAGCAGAGCACAGAGAGTTCTTCACTTTAATACACAAAGTGTACAGGAAGAATCTTTGATGCATGAGGCAGCATTTTCTATAGACAACATCCGAAGGTAGCAAATACTTCTTGAGACCCGAAAAACTGACTTCTAAGTAAGGCAAGAAAATGTTTTCTAAGATCACAATGGTGCTCTATATAACTTACATCCTCAACAGATGCTCCCTGATTTGAAAATAAACAGCAAACATTTTTCATTTTCCTTTTGAAGGATATACATACTTTAAATGTAGAATTAAAGTAGACATCTAAAAAGAAACTATTTAAAATATACTACAAACCTAGGTTATAAAAAGTGTATTTAGTGGCCTAAATATGCAACAGAATACAAATCCTGTGCATAGGGAACAGGTGGTACTCCAAAAAAAATCTACTTGTAAACAGATATATGGAATTCAGAAGGCATTTTCCCATGGAAACATTGTTACAATGGTGGTTAATTCCCAGTTTTCTCTGCAATGCCTATTTAGTTGTTAGTGAGAAACATTTATCCCACATCTGAGTTTTATGTGAATGGTACTGGTGGTCTAAGTGAAGACACCCATAATGCTAGCGGAATAAGAATGGCTCTTTCACTCAGAGCTGAAGCCTCTCAACTGAGTCCCTCTCCATAAAGGTTTCCACGTAAAGAGATGCCATCCTCAAGGTCATACTCTCTTCCTGGAGGGAGCCGAAGTCCAAATCACCATTCCACTGGGAGTCGGGAGAGTGTGTGGAAAAAGGCTCTGCCCCTATTATTTAAGGTGAGATAACTCTGAAAGGCCATCTCATCTCCAGAGCTCCCCAAAAGAGGATCAACTGGGGTCTCTGTTACAGAAGCATCACAGTTCAACTCCTGCCTCTGCCCAATCCTGCTTCCTTCCCTCCTCCACTAGGAATTATGCTAAGAGCACCCTCCAGTAAACCTCCAGCACGTGTATCTCTGCTCACACTATTTCCAGGATCTAAGACAAACAGCTAACACTTCATAAGCTGGTAGTGTAAGTTAGATACTGTTCTAATGTATGTAATCTATTTATTTTAAATACATTTGCTAGATAGATATAGATATTTTACTACATCCATATGAGTAGGTACACTAATCCCATTTTACGTACACAGAAACAAAGGTTCCGAAAAGCTAAATGACTTGCCCAAGGTCATGTGGCAAGTAATTTGAGGAGCCAGGATTTGAATCTAGGTCCACCAAACGCAAAGCCAATCACTCTGCAAATGAACTCCATCTGTAGAAACAGTTCCATGAATTAAGGCAGACTCTATAGCCCATGGGTTCTGTTGGCAAGTCAGGAATGAGTGGAGTGATGAACCATGGTCATCCAGTAACAGGAATTTATAAAAGTACGTAAGATCCAGGCCCATAGAAAACTAGATATACTATAATCAGGGTTTAAAAAATGTAGAGGCCTAATGGAACCACCATGAAACTGCATATCTACCTTTTGATTATTAGATTCTAAATATAACCATTGGCAATTTTGTCTACCTACAGTGAAAATGTAAACAGTATAGGCAGACAGATGTTTACTATGTAGGAAGAGGATGGAGTGCTCTTTTACTCCAATCCCTGAATAAAAGCCTCATAAACTAGTACCTAATAAATTTCTTATTAGAGGTACAATATCCTTATAATTAATAGTAACTTAAGATACATAACTGCAACCAGTTCAACTTCTTCAACTATAACTATACCATAGCTTCCCCAAGCTCTCCCTAGCTAGTCATCTCCTTTTATAGAGTATTTGTTTATGCCCACTTGACAAACTGAACAGCTAAGAGCTAATATTGCCCTGCCCTGGTAGCCACACTGCCCAAGAGCTACAAGACACAAAACCATTCTATAAACTCCAAACTACAAATAAACACTATTAATTTTAAGTGAAATCATTAAGTTTGCATGTTTGCAGATATAGACAGCTGACTTGAACACTGAAAACAAACTATTTAAAAAGTTTTCAAAGAATACTAAGTAACTCCTTTCTGGGAATGATTACTTGATTTGTTTGCAATATTCGTAATTACAAAATCTAATGTCACAGTTAAGCAAAAAACTGAAATACACTTAAAATGCTACTACTAATAATGTTAACACTAAAAATTCAAACATTGGTCCTTAGCTGATTCTGAAGGTTTACACGTCTCTTGCGTCTTCCTTTAAAAATTTACCAATAATACCTCTCCCACACCTCCCCCTTATAAAGTATAGCTTTAAAGAGCCAAACAGAAACAAAGGGATTTGTAATTTCCTTATTCATTGATCTTGCACACGGGAGTCCTCAGCATCCAAGTTCGGTTATCATTAACTGCAGAATTGCAGTGAGGGGTTCTTCAAATTAAGGTGAATCATTCACGAAGACTTCACACAATGTCAGAACCAAGAACTGGGCATCATAAAATTTGGCTCACTCCTCTTCATGTAAGTTATATTCTCTGACTCTGACAATGGGAATTTTGGCCCATTCCTTTTTCTCCCCCACTTTCACTTGATAAAATAAGCTCCTAATCAGAAACATAGCGTCACACAGACATACACTTGCTGTGCTGCTAAATATTGAGTTTGCCACTTCAGAGAATAACCCTTACCCACTTTGATATGTACCAACTAGAAAGTACAAGTAGCCTAAGAAAAAAATCTCCTCACGCCACCCTGAAGTGGTCTAATCTTTTGGAGCAAGAAAAAAAGGAAACGGCAAACTTGAAGCTTCACACAGGCCTAAGAAAAGGGGGCAGGGCAAACCAAAACCACCACCAGAACGGGAATGCAAGCTCCCTGAGGACCAGGATGTCTCCTCCTGATTACCGCTGGATCCCTTAGTATTGAACACAGTACCTGTAACACTGCAGGTGGTTAATCTTTTTTGAATGAATAAATGAAAGCTGTCATCATTGTTCATGCACTCTGTGAGAAACTTGAAGCTCATTATACATGTAACCTTAAAAATAACAAGAACTAGGAGCATAATAGGGAAGGGACACTCCAAGCCTCTCAATAACTCTAGGAGAGAGCCTACAGTAATTTCAAGTTTACAAACAAGGAAATTGAGGCTCAGAAGACTGACCTTTCCAAGATGACAAAGCTCTAAATGGCTGAGCCATGAGTCTGTCCCACCCAGAGTGTGAACACCTTTCTCTCTGCCACATCAATACCAAAATGAAGGTTAAAGCCAGGAGAAAAACAAAAGAACCTGAAGAACACAGGCTGCCAAAACTTGTATTCTCAAACATTCTCAAATGCGGCAAGTTTGTTCCTGAAAATAAATAAATAAATCTCCCTATTTCAGTATTGCCGAGACACAGCCAACGGGGCCTACAGTTCTAACAGGCTACATTCAGCCGCCTCTGTTCAGAGCACTGTGGGCTGCTTATAAGTGCAGGTGCCCTGTTTAAAAAGTGCCTCATCTACACAAAGAATGGCTTCAAAAGCTGAAGCTGTAAATTAAAAGCCAGATATAAAAATTTAAATCTCCCTTCATTAAAATACCTACATTGTCTTTCTGGAAAAAATGCCTGACTAAAGGAATTCAAAGAACTGTCCAAATAAGTAAAAGTGTTTGCCCAGCACCTTATAACGAACACCGTGTCTCTGTAGTGAGAACAGAAATCCTGTCACATCTTGGCCAGTTCTTAAGGGCCTCCTCAAAAGGAGCATTCAGGCACTACCTAAGACTATGAGGCTTCCTTCTGAAAATGTTAAGCAGAATGACACAGAGAAAGATTTTTTTTTTTTTAACTCCGGGCTGGGAACGGAAGTCAAGTTCAGATTCTCTTCCTTCCTCAAGCAAGCCAGAGAATTAAAGAGCAAACACACAGGCCCTAAATGTCTCGAGGCCTCTTCACTTGTGGCAATCGACGCAGCAAGCCTGGGTGTGCGGAGAATTAAGGATCTCTTTCTCTCAGGGTGTTACGGGCGGCCTGGGAGCACCAGGAAGAATGAACCGGTGCCTAAGTTTTCAATCGGATCATTCTTCTCAACTTGGGCGGCTCTTTCCTCCCTTCCTTCCTCCCTTCGGCCCGGCACACACGGCGGGGCAGTGCCAGCGCAGGCAGCAGGCTGGGCCCCAGGGCAGCGCTGCCGCTGCCGGGCGCCCCTCGGAGTGTGGGTCGCGGGCTGCCCCCCGCGCGGACACTGGGCAGGGGCCGGAGATCCGTCCCCGCCGCCAGGCGTGGGGACCACGAAGGGGCAGCCGAGGCGGGGCGGAGGGGCGGGGTGAGCACTTCCTGACTCTCGCATTGTCCACGCACCACCCACGCCACCCAGGGCCCCGCCACCGCGCCATCCCCGTCGCGGAGGAAGTTGGCGCTCGCCCCGCCAGCCCCTTCTTACCGTTCTTGGCATCGCCCGCTGCTGCAGCCCCCGCGGCGGCCGCGGCGTTCGCGGCGCCAGTCCCCGCGCCTCCGGCGCCCGCCGCGCCCCCGGTGCCCGGCGCGCCTGCCGCCGCCGCCCCGCAGCCTGCCGCCGCCGCCAGGGCCCCCCCGGCCGCTGCTCCTGCCGCACCCGCCGCTGCCAGGGCCCCGGCTCCATTTTCCTGCTCGTCGCCGCTGCTGTTGGCGCGTTTGTTTTTGCGGCCCCCTTTGCTGTTTTTGGGGTTGGGCATCTCGCTCGCGGGCGTCCAGGTAGGTGCCCGGCGTCAGCGAAGGCGGCTCCCAGCGGCGCGGCCGCTCCCGGCCCTGCGCGGAGCCCGCTCCGGGAAAGGACGGAGGGCGCAAGCCTGCGGTCCCTCAGCGCCCGTCTAGCCGCGCGGCCCGTGCCGCGCCATGCGGGCCGCCGCGCACTCTCCGGCTTCCTGGAGCCGGCGCGCGGCCACCCGAGGCTCGCAGCAGCGCGGGCGCCGCGGGCCCGGGGCACGAGCTAGACGCTCCCGAGCCGGAGAGAAAAGGCGGGTCTCCGGCTTGTTTTGATTCGGCTGCGCTGACACGCTCTGGGCCCACCCCGTCTCGTGACGACACTGGGGATTCAGCCTGGCCGCGCCCACCAGGTGACTTCACGGCGGGCGGCACCGCCCGCCGTGACGTCACGCCATGCGCGGGGCCGGCCCACCTCGAGTGACGTCATCCAGGCGTCCCCACCCCGGGCCTCCTGGGCTCCCCGGGGTTCGGCGTTCGTGGCAGCCCTTCTTGACTTGCTCCTCGCGCCAGTGCGGTGGCATGTGGAGTTCTTCCGTGGCCTCCTGACCTTAATGTAATTGAGGCTTAGAACGGTATGGTCTGGAAAAATAAGCTGTGTGACTAGAGCAAGAATGGAAAACAAAGGATTTTGGATTAATAACTCATTCAAAGGTTATGCCATTCAGTATCAGTAATTAAAGAAACAGGGTGAGCTGGGCGCGGTGGCCCACGCTTGTAATCCCAGCACTTTGGGAGGCTGAGGTGGCCGGATCACCTGAGATCGGGAGTTCGAGACCAGCTTGACCAACATGGAGAAACCCCGTCTCTACCAAAAATACAAAATTAGCCGGGCATGGTGGCACATGCCTGTAATCCCAGCTACTCGGGAGGCTGAGGCAGGAGTATCGCTTGAACCTGGGAGGCAGAGGTTGTGGTGAGCCGAGATCACGCCATTGCCCTCCAGCCTGGGCAATAAGAGCAAAACTCTGTCTAAAAAACAAACAAACAAAAATAACTGGGTGGAGTTCCCAGACAATGGGGATGAACAGCAGGGCCCTGAATGTGAAGATGTGAAGCCTTCACAGTCTGGTCGTGAAAACAGTTCATTCAAACAAGACCCACCATCCAAGGATGTAACTAGATGCCTGGACTATGAAGCAGTCCCTGCTTGCGGGGAACCCCTTCCTGTGGGTAGGAGTGAGTGGTCCTGAAAGATAGGTGGCCGCGTTATGAGCAGGAGGTGATGAGGTGACACCTGTGAAGACAGGCAATGATCTGAGGGCAGTGGACCCCTGGGAAGATCTCCACTTGATCTCTTTCTGCAATTCTGTTCTCCCTTTTTGGCCAACTCCTTCCCTTCCCTCAGGTCTCAGCTCAGATGCATCACTTCCACGGAGACCATGCCAGGAGACCTGTCAGAAGTTCCACCCTGTTATGTATCTCCTCCATCTCTAATTATGTTGGCAATGCACGTGTTTACTTATTTCTTGTATATCTCCCTCTCACTCAAATGAAACCTCCATAGATAGATTTTATCTGCCTTGGGCACGTCAGAGAACAACTAGCATGAATTTGTTGAATGTATAAATTAGGTTCTTTCCTCACGAACTGTGGAGGAAAGACTAGTTTAGCTGACAGTTTTGCAGTGTCCTCTTTTATAGTGTAATCTTTAATTCAGCTCTTCAGTAAAGGCTCTGTCATGGTGGTGTCGTTACCATTAGAGAGTTTTGACAGCAAGTTGTCCGGTTCTTGGCATTTTGAACAAACAGCTGGACGAAACCCCCAGCAAAGCAAGGAAAGAAGAAAGCAGGGATTTGCTGAGAATGAAAGTACACTCCACAGTGTGGAAGCGGCCCCAGCAGTGGCTCAAGGGCCCGGATACAGAATCTTCTCAGGTCCAAATACCCGCTGGAGGTTTCCCACTGGCCACTTCAGGCTCACCTCAAGTAAATGAAGTGGTTGCCCACAATTGGTCTGATTGGTTGCGGAAAGCAACCAATTAGAGGCTGAAGTGGAGTTACAAAGGTTACACTTCTGTGCAAACATCTGATTGGTTGCAAGAAGGTGAGGGTTTGCAAAGGGAGTATATTCTGGCCCTTTTGTTACTTAGGCGTGGAAAATTAGGGTTTTCCTTTCAATGTAGTTGTAGGAAGTCGGGGGCGAAAGGGCCTTAGGTTCCCTGCCTCCAGACCCTCTTCTCCTGCCGCATTGTGAACTATAGAGATACAGACACGAAAGTACAAGACACAGTACCCTCTCCACATTCAGGTAATGGAGAGGGAATTCTGACTGGGAGCTCTGGGCAACTGTAGCAGAGTGCATAAAAGAGCCTGGAACAGCAAGCAGGAGTCCTGGATACTCAGGGAAATTGCTGGTTGGACTGTTTAGTAGAAAAAAAAATGATGAAACTTTTAATTGCCTAATATATATTAGAGGATAGTGAGCCTTTAGAAGGCCCTATTGATGGATAGATATTTTGTGCTTATATTTTCATGTCTATTTCTCCCCCTATCTTGAAATCCTCTAAGTGCTAGGAGAGCAGGGATTGTGCCTGGTTTTCTAATGCTGCAGAGTCTAACATAAAACTTGACCCACAGTAAGTATTCAATAAAAATTTGTTGCATGGAAGATACCTAAAGCACTCTTCTTCTGGCTACATTTTTCTGAACCTTAAAATCTCAGCTAAATCATCAATTCTCTAGGAAATCTCTGACAACCCAAAACTAGACTTGTCCCCATATGCTCCCAGCACCTTCCTCACCACAGCAGTTTAGGCACTGGGACATTGCTTTGGTGGCCACTTGGACACCAAAAATGGGGGATGAAAGAGTGAAGTCAAGAAGTTCTGAAAATCAGAGGAAATGATGATGGTAGTTCATTAAAGGGAGACTTCCGAGGGAGGACAGTGGAGTTGTGGAGGAAGATAATGAGTTACTGTTGCCCATTCAGACTTAGCTTAATTTCATTATTGATACCACTAGAGGTCTCAAAATATGTTGACGATGTTAGTTTTGGCGTGTTTTTTTTTTTTTTTNGCATGAGATGGTACCTCAATGTGGTTTTGATTTGCATTTCTCTGATGACCAGTGATGATGAACTTTCTTCATGTTTGTTGGCTGCATACACATCTTCCTCTGAAAAGTGTCTGTTCATGTGCCTTGCCCACTTTTTGAGGGAGTTGCTTTTCTTGTAAATTTAAATTCTTTAGATTCTGGCTATTAGCCCTTTGTCATATGCGTTGATTGCATTTTTTTTTTTTTTTTCTGTTTGTTGTTGTTGTTTTCTAAGTTGTGACGATGACATTTTAGGTTAGAGTACAAGAAAATTGAGATAATTATTTTCTTGAATAAGCACATTGTTGTCATGCCATGTTGGATCAGAGTTAGTACGCATGTACCCTGCAGTCAGACATTCACACCAGCTGCCTCCCACCTCTACATAACTGAGACTTAAGAATTGGAAACTTTCCACAAAAGTATCCTAATTGACTCAAAGCACCCAGACATCCAGCCACTTGCTGTTCTGGTTAATTGTGTGAGCCACCTCCTTCTATTCAAACTGAAACAAAATGAAAAGGAGGAAGGAGAAGCTTGCCACTTCTTCCATGCTCAACCTCGCTAATCTATTTTTAGCTTTAGTCAAATTTGATGCAGAGTCAATAGTTCCGATTTTATTGCTACAAAGACAATATACTAAAATTAAGTTGTTAGGAATAAAATTTAGGTGACGTTAAAGGACTTCATTTCCTATGTGCTTTGTAAGGTGTGGAATTTCTCAGGAATCCTGCTGTCCTACCTCTTCCCACCATTTCTGAAGGTGAGAGACAGAGCATACCAAAAGACAAAAGGTGGCAGATGGTACGATGGAAACTTCCCCTCAGAAGCTTCCAGAAATATAAAGAACACCAAAGAACTGAAGAAGTCACTCTGTTCTGTACATCTACACTTGCCTTCTCATTCTTCAATTTCCCTGATTAACTCATGCCCTGAAATAAACTTCAAAAAAATTATACCTCTATCCTAGGTTTCCTTCCCCCAAACCTCACCCACCCTATCGCTCACTTCTCTGCAAAAACAAAATAAAGCACAGCAACAAATCAAGGGCATCAAAAGCAAACAGTTTACACCTTTGAGAAAGGGGTGGGCTAATCTTCAGGGCTGAAACTGGAATAAGCAGTCATTGTTTCAGTGCCCTAGTTTTGTTCATTTGACATACTGTGCCTGTATTCTGAGCTCCTGGGGTCAGCTAAGTTTGGGTCAGGTTTAAAGTACAAAATATATGTGTTAAGGATACTTGAAGACATAGAACATAGGTAAGAAGCCAAATATCAAAATACACCTTGATCCAAAGAATCATATAGGAACTCAGAAGGAATTCTGCAGATAATACAGTAATGCACACAAGAATAAGTCCACAATTGAAACATAAGCTGAAAGGTACTAATGCCTGATCTGCTAAAAAGTCATTTCAAATAAATATACCTGGAGCAATGTATTGTCTTTATGCATCAGTTTTTTTCCTATGGAAATAGCTTCTTCTATGGCCACAGGCTTTCTTTGAGGAATAATGACAATTGTGATAATAAAAACTTTGAAAAAATGGAATATTAAAGCAAATAATAATATTGATTAATAAATTCCATAGACTCTCCCTTTAGGCTGTTCCTGATTACCAATATTAATAGCTTTTTCAAATATTTCCCCTTAAAATCTCTTTTCTATCCTTTAGTTGTGACTTTTGCATTATTTTCATGATCTAGAAAAGCAGTCATTAAAAAGTCAGAATTTTGTTCTCAGTGACCCCTGAACTTGCTGTTTACTCCAACCTCTGTGCCTTCCTTGCTGATACTATTGTCCTAGTTCAGCATCAACACCGTCTTAGACCCCAGTAATCCCAAAAGGATGTTTCCTTCAAGAGATTTATTTATTTATTTATTTATTTATTTATTTATTTATTTTTGAGATGGAATCTCACTCGGTCCCCCAGCCTGGAGTGCACTGGCGCCATCTTGGCTCACTGCAACCTCTACCTCCTGGGTTCAAGTGAATCTCCTGCCTCAGCCTCCCAAGTAGCTGGGATTGCAGGCACCTACCACCATGCCCAGGTAATTTTTGTATTTCTAGTAGAGACAGGGTTTCACCATATTGGCCAGGCTGACCTCGAACTCCTGACCTCATGATCCACCCACCGCAGCCTCCCAAAGTGTAATCCAAAGGATTACAGGCGTGAGGCACAGCATTCAGCCTAAGAGATTTATTTTTATGTTTATTAACTTTGTTTATTGTCTGTCCTTCCACACTGGGATGTA